CGGAGCTCATGGGAGGGAGAGGGCGGGCCAAATCGCTGTCTCCGCCACTCGGGTCTGGTACTGACCCTAAGCTTTGGGACGAACTCCATCCGGCACAGCCCGGTCACGAGGTCCCTCCAGGCAAAGGCAAACCGCAGAGAACCAGCACCTAGAATCAGTCCAAGGCACGAGTGTCAGGAGCTGAGGAGAGGGCTCTGGAACCAAGATGCCTGGGTTAGGATCGGAGTGTTACCAAGCTACTTGGCCTCTTTTTGCCTTGGTTTCCTCATCTGTAAAAAGGGATGAGGATACCCACGTGATAATGTTGGTGGGTGGATGAATGAGTTACTACCGGTGTGATGCTCACAATGCTGGGCACATAGTGGATGTCCCGTTTATGCTATTTAACGTCATCATCATTTTTATCTCATTTCGACTTCACGGCAAATCTGTCAGGCAAGCACTTTCTTATCCTTCCCGTTCGGCCGATGAAAACACTGAGGCTCAGAGGAGTTAAGTGCCTCGCTCGAGCTCACACCGCTATGAAGTAGCAGAGCTGAGGATTGAATCCAGGCCTGACACACTGTCCAGCTTTTAGGCTACAGGGTGTTTTTGTATATGCTTATATTCCCGCGAGCCTTTTTAATGATCACTTAGCAGCTTCACACTCAGTTCCGGCACACATTCAGCACGTTTCCGCTCCTGATTCACGTTTCCAGCACGTTTCAGCAGGGCGCTGGCTATTCCCAGATTTCCCGAGTCAGGCTCTGACATCGAGGAGGTTATCGTCGCTGCTGGGGAGCGAGGTGAGGGTGGTCCAGTCATTTGTGTGCTTTGCCAACCCACGCCCGTTGTTCTTCGTTCTCCCTGGGAGGCGGCAAGATGATCCTTCTGGCTGCCTGTGATGGGGTGGGGCCACGTGACAACTGCTGGCCAATGAGCTGTGAGTTCAAGTGCTCTGTGTGTGTGTGTGTGTGTGTGTGTGTGTGGTGTGTGTGTGAGAGAGAGAGAGAGAGAGAGAGAGAGAGAGAGAATGAGAGAGACAGAGGATTGAATCTCTCATGCGACAACCTCCCCACTCCTCTTGCCACATTGACGGTGGTCACTGCTCCTCAAGCCCAGCTTCCAGGGTGACATCCAGGACGGCCACGCAGTGTCTATCAGCAATAAGTCTGCATTGTGTTAAGCCACTACAGTCTGGGGCTCTTTAGTTGCTGCGCCATACCCTAGCCCATCCTGACGACGCACAGCCCCAGAGACAGTTGTAAAAGTGCTTAGACGCCAGTTGTGCACCCGGGGCTACTGGAGTGTTTATCGTGAGAACACCTTGCGGGACGGCGGGGGTTGGAGTGAGTGGCCCAGAGTATGAACGGGGCCAAGACTAGGATGGAGTGAGTGTGGCACTGGGCTCAGAATTTAAGTGAATGACAAAAAACTCACAATAATATTTTAATGCAATGCTTTAAAAGTCAACATGAATGCCAAAAAACCCCATAATGAAATAGTAAAATTTTAAACACAGATAAATCCAGGGTAAATGTGAATTGTACTGCCCCGCCTCACTTTCTCCGCCCTGACCCAGGCCGGGTCCAGGCATGAAAATAATTGTTTAAATTTTTGCACCCAAGGTGAGCGCTTCATCCCCCCCGCCCAGGCTAGCCCCGAGAATCGGACACCTCTGTGTTAGGAGTTGTTTTATGAGCTGAGTTAGCAAATGGAGCTCCCGAGGTAAAAAAGAGGGGAGGGGCATGCTTCCTGCCTCAGTTCAAGCCCCCTCCTCAGCCTGGCCTGCACGGGATGCGTCCCTGCCTCGCACGCGCCCCCCCCCCCCCGCCCCGTTCACCTCACCCTCTCCCATCATGGCTCCAGTGCCCGCGCACGCCTAGGGATGTACTGGCTTGCTTACTAGTTAGGTGTTTGTCATGGGACTGAGACCCCTGAGGACAGGTGCCACATTACCTGCCCCTCTCTGTATCCCCAGCACCTGAGTGCCGCCTGGCACGTGGGAGCAGCTCAATAAATACTCACTGAATGGATGGAAGAATGGACTGAAGTCTTCATTCCCATTTACGGAACACCTTAGGTGCGGAGGCCACCCCTGAGGAGGCACATTTTAGAAGGGACCAACAAAACCGGTGGGAAGTTAAATATTAAACAGCGAGTTTACAGGGAGCAATGTATTCTCTGCAGCTGAGGGGACTTGAAGGTTCTTTCTATGGCAGCTTCTCCACAGAGACCAAAACCCTCATCCGCCTGCTTCTAGAAGCCTTAGGCAGGTACCCAAAGGCAGGGGTCTGAGGCCCAGGGGTCCTGGGCTAGGCATTAGCCCAGGCAAAATTCTTCTGCCCACACAGCCACTAGGTACTGACAATTTGCACATGCAAAACACAGCGACAATGAACCCCAGGGTTCGGGGCGCCTCGCCCACTTCCCACCGCCACACCCCGCTCCATGCCCAGAGGACCAGGGACTGATTCCGTTCACGCCCTCGGGCTGCATCGTCCAGCTAGCAGTGGCCATGCCGCTTCGGGGCTTCGGTCCTCAGGGGGATCATCTCCCGTAAGCCTCCCAGGGACCGTCCCAGGCCCCTCGGGCCGGGGCAGGAACCGGCTCATCCCGGCCCCAACTCTCTCGACCGGGAGGAGGTGGGGTGTCCCCAAAGTGCAGGGTTATCGTCTTGCACCGCTCCCAGCCGAGCACTGCCGGATGGCAACAGATACAGCCCCAGCAGGGCCTCCGTGTCCCCCCTACGAGCCCCCGCCCTGCAGGAAGTCACGAGGGGCTCTCCGCGGAAGGGGCTGGGGGCGGTGCGGAGCCAGCCGCAGAACAATGGGGCCGGGGCGAGGGGGAGTCGGTGGGGTTCCCCGGCTGGCTTGCCACCACCATAAACCTCATTACCTCGCGGTCCCCTAGGCCGCCGCTCTCCTTACCCAAGGCATCCGCGGCTTCACTGCCGATTCCCACATGGCGTGAAAAGCTCTTAAACCCCCTGCTGTATTTTTAATGGGGGCAGTGACTAATTTAGCCCTACGCCACCAACCGTCAAATCAAATCTTCTATTGGTACTTACTGAGGACTCACCTGGGCTCTGTGGAGTTCGGGATAAACCCAGGCTGGAGGGGGCCCAGAGACGGCGATGTGGGACACCCGGGACACGCTGGCCCTGCCCACAGCCCGCCGCAGCACCGTGCCCATGGCAGGCCTGGCTGGGGAGGGGTGGCGGCCAGCCCAGCCTCTGCCACACCTTGGGGAACACTGAAGCCTGCCCTGAGGTGTTCCCCTAAAACAGCCCTGTCTCCCGGGAGCTAAGAATTGGAGCTCGCTGCCTTGGGCTTCCAGGAGGCAAGAGCCCTGACCGGGAAGGGCGCCTGTGGCTCGGTGTCCCGCCCGGGCAGGCGCCTGCTCTGGGCCTCGCAGGTAAAAAACGAAAGGCCCGGCCCCGCCCCGCCCCGGCCGGTGTGCACGGTAGAGGGGGTGGCAGGGAGGGGAACTCTTCCAGGCCGCCAGAAGCCCCTGCTTACGGGAATCCGAAGACACTGGGCATAATCGCTCCAAATTCCATGCCCATGACTTAGTATTACGTTGTAATTAGGTGCAATCTGTCTGCCTGTTTCATTTCCGCTCTGCAGAGGGTAATAACCAATTTTCCCGCCCCTCGTGAAAAGTTAACAAGGAAGGGCTTCCCCGTGCAGGTTCTGAGGCCCTGGCCTCAGATTGGCCGACCAGCTGAGCGCCAGCCTGAAGCGGGGGAGGGCGGCCCTATGGGGGACCAGGCTGCTGGGTGGGCCCTGGGTGCCAGCAGGGCCGGGAGAGGTGAGGCAAGTGAGTGCAGAAGGTGCAAGGGCTCAGGAGACATCCTTTCTCAGGGCTTGCAAATGCAGGTGGCCCCTGCAAGCCCTTGAACCCTCGGCACCCCACTTGCCCCATTAGACTCTTGGACCCGCCACGATCTCTGCATTTCCATGCCCCTCCATCTGCGATGGGGATCCTGCCGCTCCTGCCTGGCTCTGATCAGCACCCCACCCTCTGCACGGCCCCACGCCTGGGGCACAGCTAAGCCGGTCTGGAGGCCGGGCCACAGAAGGGCCCATCACGTGACCACCGACACCAGCACCTGGGAATGGCACCCCAAGGGAGAGAAAGAAGGAACAAAGTGCATGAGCGTGTGAGCCACCAATCTGCTACATGGCTTTGGAAAAACTGCCCACATATCCTGGGGCCTCAGTGTCCCTGTCCCTAAAAGGGAAGACCGGAGGATCTCATCTTAAAGGGTGCTCTCTGCTAACTTCTATGCCCTGCCCCTCAGACTGTGAGCGAGCACTAGGTTAGTACACTCCTTTCCTCGGGGAAGCTGGGCCTGTCATGCGCTGCCGCACGGGCTCGTGAGATCCCACAGGAACTCCAAGGACACACCCCATGGGTGACAACAGCCCCCGCCCCCCCAACCCCGGCCCCAGGCTGGGGAGGAGAGAGCCAGGCAGCAGTGCCGATTGCATGGACCCCTTTATTGAACTGCACTAGTAACCGCGGTCAGATTAAGTCACATTTAAAAGCAGACCACCCAGTTGCACTGAAACCGATTATATTCATTACATAGTTTTAATCACTGTCCGGTGAACTGGCAAATCCAATCAAAGCATTAGTCTTTAATTAAAAAAATGAAAAGGAAATATTCAGACAATAGCCAAGCAATCACGTCACGATGCACAATTACCTAGAACTGCAATTAAAAAGTAGTTAACCGAAGGGGCAGGGGGGGAGAAAAACAAGAAAGAAAGAAAAAGAAGCAGATAAAAAAAAATCACGCTAACCCTTTTTTTTTTTTTAAAAACTATCAATATAATACATGAGGGAACAAAGGACAATAGCCTCAAAAAGCGGGTTTCTCTAACTCTAGAAATGTAGTCTGCGGCAGAAACTCTAAGAGCACACTAGCAGAAGCAGGGCAATAAAAAATACTGAGCATGGAATACTTTTAATCTCTGCCATTAATATTCATTTCCAGCTGCTTATAATAGCAGCGCCTCATGGCCAAATCATTAGAGTTTTACATCTGGGTTGCAAATGACACTTTGATTGGATGTAATGTTCAAATGGCCCTCCGCACGGCGTCTCCGGCAAGCCTTCTGCGGAGAGGTGTCCTGTCGAGCGGTCCCTCACTGTGCGTGCTGGCTCATCGTGTGATTCTGCAAAGGCGAAGAAAGGAGACGCGCGTGAGGGCAGAAGAATGGAGCGCCCGCCTGTCCCTCCCACTCCGTGCATTTGCGCCCAGGGCCGCAGAAAAGCGTTGTGATTATTCCGAAAACAAAATGCAACCAGGAAAAAGTGCACCGGGGACGCAGCTGCCAAGACACCACCTCCTCGATGTGGGGCTTGGGGATCGGTTCCTGTTGCTGCCAACCTGGGCTCCCTGTAAATTGTTGTTTTTTTTTTTTTTTTCTTTAGGACCGTTTGTGTCTTACCATGGGGGCCGGCTCTATGGAGGGAAAGGGGAAATGCCGGGGATGGAGCAGGAATGAAAAACATCTCTGTCCACCCCTGCAGCTCCCTTCTGCTCTAGCGATGAGGAGAAATCGCGTCCGAGCGCCGCAGGCCACCCCCGGCCCCCCTCGCATCCATCCCGGGCGCTGCCCGAGCCCAGCGGAGGGAGGCAGCTCATGGGGCAGGCGGCCCTTCCGCTGAGCAGCTCCCGAGCGGCACAGACCTGCCGAGGCAGCGGGCGGCTGTGGTACCTGTGGCCCGGGCAGGCGACCGTCACCTGGCAGGGCGGGCGCTGAAGGAGGGCGCCTGCCCATTCGGTCACAGGACAGCGAGCTCTCTGATGAGGGAACACTGCGCGGTTTGGCCAAATCCACTGGGGAACCCAGAGCCCAGGTGACCCCCTGGCCAAGCGCTCCCCGCTCACCAACGCTCCCTGCACGGCCTGTTTCCACAGGAGCCAGGGTCCTGGGGCTGCAGGTGGGCTTTGGCCCCTAAGAGCCTGCAGACTTGTTTCTTTTTCAGTAAAGGTCCATGTTCCAAATCCAGGCCCACCTCATTAAAGCCTCCGGTGGGGTTCAACCTCATTGCCTGGAGAAAGGAAGCAACATCTACCCGGGGCAGAGCAGTGCAGCTTGGGGGCAGCGCAGGGCCGCCGGCCGGGGCGGGGAGCAGCTGCCGGGGAGGGTCCCGCCTCCCCAGCCCTGGACACTCTGTGGGGCTCAGCCTCTCCTCCCGAGGCGGGTGCCCCCGGCCTGCGGCTCTGCCGATGACCACCAGGGGTCAGACGTGGCCCTGCGTCTCCCTCCTGGGCTCCAGGTCAGGGCTGTGAGGGCCACAGGGAGCTTGGGGACACCCCCAGCCCCAGGCCCAGGGCCCCGTAGCAGCCGCTCCCCCCGCAGGCAGGGCTGCTGCCCTCTCGGGGCTGTCACCGCCCCTGCTCAGGCGGCAGGTGCGTGCTGGCCTCCATCCCTGGGCTCCCCGGCAGAGGCCGCGGCGCTGGCGCTTGGCGAGCGCACGTGCTGTGCGCCCGTACCGGTGCCTTTTTTGCCATCCTCACGACAGCCTTACGAGGCAGGACACGGTACGATGAGAAAAACGAGGCTTGGAGAGGCTGCACGACTGGCCCAGGGCCACAGCTGGGAAGCAGGAGGGAGCCAGGCAGCTGGAACCCAAGAGAGTGGGGGGGCCCGGCACAGCAGGCTGGCTTCCCGGCACCCCGCACCCCACGGGCACCCCAGTCCACGGACCGCCCGCACGCTGCACCGGACACCAACTCCGCCAGCACGGCCTGGCACCCCAGCGGGGGGGGCGGGGACCCCGAGGCACGAGGAGGGTTGTCTGGAATCCCAGATGGGGTGCAGCGGTTTCCATGGGAACGCCCCCCCAGCCCGGGTGCCTCCCCTCACACTAGTGCAGGGCCAGCCCGTCCCGCGGGGCGCTGACCCCCTCCAGCGAGCCACCCTCCTAGCGCCAAGCCTTGGCCGCGTCTGCTCCCACCTCCTCTCTCCTCCCTCCCAGCCAGGCCTCTCTCGGGGGCGTCCTATCGCAAGGTCGCATCCCATCCCTGCCGCCCCTCGGGGTCCAGGCACCTCCGGCCCACCTCCCACACGCCTGCGTGTCCCTTGACTGCAAGGCCGACCTGCAGGCAGGGGCTCACGGCCCTTCTGGGCCCCACCGCACCCGGCCCAACGCTGGGCACAGCCTGTCAGTGCACAGCGCCACGGGGCCTGAGCCAGCCGGGTGGTCGGCCCTTCTTTGTCTGCAGGGGGCTCGGGGTGGGGGGAGGCACGTTAGGGAGCTAGACACGGACGACCCCTCCTGTGGTCCCTCGGGCCTGGCACCCAGGAGGCTCTGCGTCAGTGTCTCTGAATGAATCCAGGGAAGGGTGAGTGAGTGAGTGTGTGGGAGGGGTTCGCGGGCGGGGGGTGCGCACAGAGACAAAGGCGTGGAGGCTGGAATGAGCGTGGCCAAGGCAGGCGGTGGCGGGGTGACCCGGCGGAGGTCACGTGGAGAACTGGGGAGCTGACTGGGGACAGTGGCGGCCCCGAAGGTGGCCTTTGTTCTAAAGTCAGTAGGACACCAGGGATGAGGTATTGGATCCCCACACCACCCTGGGGGACCAGCGCCTGCCAGCACGGGGGAAAAGGGAGCGTCCGGGCATCTCTGGATGGAAAAGCAGCCCCCTGCCAGGACACCAAGAGCAGGGCCGGTGTGGCGTTGGTGGTCCGCACCGGCGCGCCCAGGCCCCTGCGGGGACCACTGCCTAGGAGAACGCCAGGGGTCACAGGGAAACCACTGCGAGCCTCCTGTCTTAAGGAGCAACAGCAGGCAGCTCTTTGGCCGGACTCAAGAAAGCACTTCCTCAGAGGGGGCTCGGAGACAGAAGGTGAGACTTGCCTCCTCGAAGCTCGGAGAACAAAGGCCCAGGATGTCACGGCAGATGGAAACGTCGACGCTGGAGGCCCCCAGGGGCCGGCGCCAGAATTCACTCAGCGCTGCATTATTATCTACCTGCCGGATGCTCTGCTCTGGGCACGGCGCGGGGCAGGGGAAGACTCCAGCTGGGCTGGCACCTCCAAGGGGCCAGCGACTCAGACACCCAGTCGCTGGTGTGGGATGAACGGCGCAGATGGCAGCTCAGAGAGGGACATCGGTCAATGCCACCCAGGAAGGGTGTGTGCGGTGGGGGTGCCGCGAGCCCAGGGGACCCACTGGCGGAGGGGGTGGCGGGACGTCTCCGGGGCTCACCAGTCGCCCTCCACACCTGTATGCCGAGCGCCCGGTGGAGCCACAGCCAATGGGCCCGTTCAATAACCCTGAAAGAGTCGCGGTGGCATCCATGGTGGGGCGCTGCCATTCGAGGAGACTGGGGCTCCATCCAGCCTCCTTTAACAGCGCCTTCCGCCCAGCGCGCTTCGCACAAGGGCGTTTTGGCTTCATGTCTATTTCGCTATTTATGCCTGTGCTATATTTAGCCCCTTCGGAGAAGGAAGGAAATCGTTTTTAAAGATGCTGCCGACCCCGCAGGTGAACACTTGCTTTCCAGCACCGTAAAGGCCGGGGGAGGGGAGGGTGGGGGCTGGGAAACGCTGGAAGGCGCCTGGAGGGGAGGCCTGGCAGCCGCTCGGGCCTCTCCGCCTGCCAGGGAGACGCAGGTGTGGGCCGGGAAGCAGGTGAGAGCAATAAAACGGGAGCCCGGGAGGGATGGGCGGCGCTGGTAGGCGGCGGAGATCCAGCCCCGCGGCAGAGCGTGAGCGGCTCTCAGGGAGGCAGGCTTCAGCAGGGCCTGCATCCCTCCGATGCCTCGGCCGGGCGCCCTGGGCCATCTGCCCCCGGGACACCAGCTACTGACAGGCGAAGGGGTGGCACGTAGCGGGGGTCCTGCTGAGCCCTCTCTCCAAACGTCCTCAGCGGAGAGCTCGGGCCGGCTCCCTTTGCCACGCCCTTGCCTTCTTTTACAGGGTTGGCCATTCATACACTAGATAATCCAGAGCCCAAGCCAGTGTGTGTCTCGGGCATAGAGCGGGCGTGTCAGAAACCTGTTGCTGGGCCATTTTTCTCAAAGCACCCACACACCTGCACGGGCAGGTCAGGGGTTCAGGTGGGGCCCCGGGAGGCACCCCTGGCTCAGCCTGCTCTGTGCCCGACAGTGACGCACAGGCGCGTGCGCGCGCACGCTCTCCGGCGAACCCTCCCCCAGCCCGCAAGCCCGCAGCAGGGATTTCTTCTCCACGTCTTGGCTCCGTTTTCTGTTTCTTGCTCTGGAACCTGCTTGGTCTCCCTTTGACACTCACCCCCCATAGCGTCACGCAGGGGAGAGTGGGGGTGCTTCAACACACAGGCTGCCCCGGGGCCTGGCAAAGCTGTCAGTGCAGAGGCAAGGCTGTTCTCCACACACCCGGGGTGCACAGGGCGGGCTGGAGAGGACTTCGCAGAGCAGCGAGCGCGCTCTCAGGTGCGACGGTCACCTGTCTGTTCTGTGCTCCAGCCGTCCTGATTAAAACAGGCCTGGAAGGTCCGATCCCTTTCCCGGCCTGCAGCAGGTGCCCCGTCCGGGCGCCACGGGCGCAGATGACCTAAGGCAGGTGGCCTGAGTCCCACGTTTGAATCCTGGCTCTACCGCTTACTAGCCCTGTGGCCTGGAGCAAGTTCCCTGACGCCTGACGTCCTTTGCAAGACAAACCGGGGGCAGGGGGTAAGTACTATTTAATCTCCATTTCACAGACGGGAAAACTGAGGCCCAGTGCGCTGGCGGGCCCGTGCAGTGCCTGGTCTTCACTGCCCTGCCTGGGAAACATGCAAAGCACAGCATCTGTTGGGGGAACAATGAATAATTCAGCTTGGCAGGAGCACGGGGTCGGCGCCACGGAGACAGCCGGGAGAAGGAGGTGGGGCCGGCCCGACGAGGCTCCTTGGTGCCAGACGAGGCAGCCGGCCTTAACCCCGGGCCGTGGGGAGCCAGCGAAGGTATCCGAGTTGTGGAGTCACACAGGAGGATGCGGAAAGGGAGCAGCTCACCTTCCAGCCAACAAGACGCGTTGGCAGGGCCTTCCTGCCCTGCGTCTCCCTCTGCTCGCGTCCTGGGTCCCCTCCCGCCCTCTCCAACATGCGCACGCACCACACGCGTGCATGCGCGCAGCCCGCTTTTCCCTTTGGGGCGGGGGCGCAGGCAGCTCTGCTCCCCGCTCCGTTGTGTCTCACCTGG